AATCAGTTCCTTTCTCAGCCCACCAGCTTTGATAGTTGGTTTATGTTGCTACTATAAATCCACCAGTTCTCCACTGAATCCTGAGGGCAGACAATGGCGGAGTTGCCAAAACGAAAAGGGAAAATGAGAGCAAACAGGAGTAACAGAGAATTTTTGGAGGACTTTTGTGTCTTTCTTCCCTTTCCAGAGGGAAGCTCCTAAAGTTCTCAGGCACAGTTTTAACCCTTCACGTCACCTGAAAGCATTCCTCCTTCCCTCCATCTGGAGCAAAAGATCAGGGTAGGATGGCCATTAACAACTTAGTAGTTACCAGTGCAGAGCAAAGATGAGTGAGATGAGGAATGCAGCAGTCAGATCTGTCAGGATCCACATGGTGTTGTACTGCTGTGGTGTCTGGAAGAAAACAACAGAGGTTGTGTCCACCACCAAGAACCATGAGATTTGCAAAAAAATTTACCCAAGCTCTTTCTTCCTGATTGAATATGGCTATTCAGCTGCCTGGTTTGCATCTGCAATAACATCCCTTGGGTGTTTAAAGCACTCAGTGGTACTTCCAAGTGGCCACCCAGCACTGGGTGTTAGTGCCAAATCATCCTCCTTCATACAAGCAGGTCTGTTGTGTAGCCAAGATTTTACCATTTCACAGTGAATGCCACAGAGACCTCTTGTTTGTAAGGCAGGTCTTGCACTTCTCAGCTTCACCCCAAATATCAACTGGTGGCATCTCATTTTCTCTGGCAAAATTGTCCTTTATTAAACACAACAGAGTGCCTGGGGTGGCTCCCACTTTAAGTCTAAGATCATCTGAAGATTCATTCTTATGCTAGACCTCCACCCAAACTTAGGTTGGACTGAAAGACTGCACTTCTCTGAAGGGGAGCATTGTAGAATCTAATTCAAGACTGAAGCCAACTGTTTAAAGCCCTTAGAGAGACTCTGGTGGGACCAATGCCCCAGGTGCTTCTTGGTCCTGCAGGAGAAGGCAGAATAACAAATAGAGAAATAATGTGAAAATTCCTCCCAGAAGGAAGGCTTATTTCTGTGGTTGTTTCCCTTGGATTTGTGGAACAAGACCAAGTTTGACAAGGGCAGTAGGACGCTGTGGGAAAAGAGAAATCCTCATGCATCAGCTTGTGTCCCCAAAGGCCCTTCCCTTCTCCTGCACAAGTCTTAATATGACCTCTTTTCCCGTATCTCAAGGCCTAAGGTGATAATGCAGACAAGCAGAGTGCTTCATCCTGAGCCAGGAGAAGAGAGAAGAGTATGGTAATACCTGTAGTGGCTTTGAGGTTTCAGGTAAGCCAGGTTTCAACTCAGGTCCTCCTTATGCAAAGGATCTTTAAAGGATGCTTTATCCATGTGTGAACTGGCCCATCATCTCCAAAGGTAATCATTAATATCCCAACCCTCTTTGCCACCCCTAAGACAGAGAAGGCTTCCACTTACCATGAGGAAGAGTGGCTGGTTGAGATCCTTCAGCAAGTGGACAGCATTGGTTGTCACAGAGTGTGCCCCAGAGCACCATGCCAGGGAATAGAGCCATGGCTCGTTGACCACATAGAAGTTGGTGGTGATGTTTGCCTCTGCATATTTCCTTTAAAAGACCAAAAGGCAACAACCTTCGCTGAGCAAGGAGATTAGCACTTCCTTTGGGCTTACTCAAGGAGATTCGGGAAGATCATGGGAAATGGTTGTAATCTTCTGTAGGAAGTGCTTACTTTAGGACCTTGATAAGGAACATAAAGGAAAGCCAACCAGCCAATAATTAATCATTAACAATTGGTCAATACAGAATAGCTGAACAGCTGGAAACAAATGCAGATAAAATGCCCAAAAGGTCAAAACCTTTCTAATCCTTCTGCCATATGAATCAATGTAGGAATGTATTTGTAAAGGAGGCTGTGCCCAGGTGGGAGCCAGTCTCTTCCTTTAAAAGGCAACCGAAATATTCTGTTCTACCATTCTTTCTGCATGGAAGATCTTCAAGCAATAGAACAAGAAGAAATGGACCCAAGCTTCACCAGGGAAGGTTTAGATTGGATAGTAGGAAAAAATTTATTGATGGCAAGGGTTATCAAGCTTTGGAATCAGCTGCCCAGGGAAGTGCTGAAATCATAGTCTCTGGAGGGACTTAAAACATGTGGATGTGGCACTTGGGGACATGGTTTAGTGGTGGGTTTGGCAGTGCTGGTATAATGGTTGGCCTTGATGGTCTTAGAGATCTTTTAAATCTAAAGTATTCATGTTATTCTATAATCTTCCCACACTGTGTTCCAAACCACCACAGAATCACAGAATAGCCTGAGTTGGAAGGGACACAGAAGGCCACAGAGTCCAACTCTTCAGTTAATGTCTCAGGTAGGGATTGAACCCACAATGTTGGTGTTGGTTAGAGCACCTGAGTTGGTTAGACCAGCTGAGCTAATCTTTGAAGCTGGCCACTGAAGTTTGTTATGGTCATTCCATCAACACATAATTTCTCAAGTTATTACAAGCTATTGAAACTTAATATGAAGTAAGTTCATTCCTTGTATAAAGGTAAAGTAATGTATCATCCATATCAGCATTTATAAATCTACCTAGGAACTACCCAAGGTTTACCCAAAGGGATCTGCCTATGATTTTTTACAGACTTTCAACCTGGAGAAAAGAAAGCTCTGAGAAGAGCTTAGACCACCTTCCAGTACTGAGATGGGCTACATGAGAGCTGGAGAGGGACATTTTACAAGGGCATTGAGTGACAGGACAAGGGGGCATGGCCTTAAACTGAAGGGGGAAATTTTAGATCAGACATCAGGAAATAATTCTTAACTGTGAGGGTGTTTGAGACACTGGTACAGACTGCCCAGAGAGGTTGTGGACTCCCCATCTCAGGAGGTGTTCAAGGCCAGGCTATGGGGCCCTGAGAAATCAGGTCTAGTGGGAGCTTTCCTGCCCATGGCAGAAAGTTGTAACTAGATGATGCTGAAAGTCCCTTACAACCCAAACCATTCTGTGATTCTATGATTTTACATCCTGTGACAATTATCATTGAGAAAACATGAACATTACTCTTGTCCAAAGGATTAAAGTTTTTCATTTATTTTTCATTTCAACTAGACTTCAATGGTTTTGTGCATTGGAAAAAGCAAAAAATCCTGTTTACAAAAGGAGAGCTGGGCAGGTAATGCTGGGTTTTTTTGGGTGGTTTGTTGGGTTATTTTGCCATGTGAGAGTATCATTTTGAGAACTCCTGCAAAGAATGTATAGCCTTTCATCATAGAAATGGCATTTCTATGTCACATGCAACAGAGTACTGATAGTAACGACAAGAAATGATATCTCCAAAACACTGGCTACCAGAGGGTGATGGTCTCTCACCACAGCACTATGCACCCTCACTGGTGTTTGTGGAAGAGCCATGGGAAGTTAAATAGTTGTCCATTCTCCTTGATTAGGGGATGGCACAAATAAAAAGACAAGAAATTGGGATAAAGCTGTGTTGTTCTTACCACAAGATCCTCAGATCCTGGTCAATGTGGAATTGAGGACAGCCAGATTTAATTACATATGCCACCTCTTAATTAACAGTAGGAGTGAACTGCAGCCTGTCACCCCTAAAATACATCAGGGATGACTGCTTGATCTGAACAACCTATTCCCAAAATAATATAGTCTCTGGAACTGGTCACTGGAGGGAGACATTGCCCCATACATGAGGCAAACATAGTCCAGATGCATCCCAAAGATTGAACTTGGAGCTGAAACCTACCGGATATCTTCACTGGACATGTCAGTGTAGACCAGATTGAGTTTGACGATATTGTGCTTTAATAGGTCTTCTATTGGTGCCTTTCTGCCCATCGTGTGCTGAAACCCTGGAGCAACAGATTGAACAAAGGACCTCACACTGTTATGCAGCCACAGGACCTGCAGGCAGGAAGAGGAACCAGTAAACTCTCAGCAGAAGAATTTGTGCCCCTGATATGCCCCACTGTTTAAACAAGCCCAGTAAAGATAATGTCTTGAGGGACTTAACCCAGCCTGTCAAATTTTCTCCCAATGTTTCTCCCAGTGATCAAATAATATTCAGATGCAGGGTTAGAACTTGCAAGTTAGAACTTGATTTTATCAAGAAATAAGTATGCACTGTTCCTTACTTATCCACTGGAAATCAGTAAGTACGTTTCACACAGCCCAACAAAAGATGCAGTGTTGAAAATTAATGAAATACAGCTTTGGTTTGTGGAAAAGGCAACTGAAAATATTCTGTTCTACCATTCTTCCAGCATGGAAGAAAAGATATTCAGCAGATATAGATAATTCCCCAGGCATCAATGGGTACATAAACTGATTCCCATGAGTTTAGCATTCATCCACTGCCAAGGGGAGGAAGGCAATAAAGACTCACAATTTATTTTAATTTAAGCCAGGAATTTTTATGCAATATATAAAACAAGCATGGGTAGCAGGGAGTAGACTGACAATTGTTACATTTATGAAGGGGTGCTGTTTAGGGGTTAAGCATCAGCTGGTTTATATACTGCCTTCTTTCCTGTACTGCTGAAGGATTACACTATTGTGAACCTTCTGAGGAACTAATATAAGGAATATACTCCAAATTATGTCTTTTAAATCAAGTGAAATGCAACAGGCCAATTTTATGCAGGTGAAATCATGCCGAGTCCACCCCAAAGCCCAGTGAGGAGAGCAAGAAAAAGGGATATGGAGTGAGGCCACCCTACCAGATGGCGTTTAATCTTCGACTCTTTGAGGATGACATCCAGGACTTTGCGGAGCCATAAGTTCCTGTAAGGATGTTTCTCTGGAGGGCGGTAGAGATCAAATATCACAAGTTTATTGTGACTGTCTGCGAGGCGCAAAAAACTATTTAGGGTGTAAATGGACTGATTCTTTGCCTGGTTTCGGTCTGCCTTTGACAGGGAGCCCATCCCTACAAATGGTTTGTTCTAGAAACAAACAGATTCAAAAAAAAAAAAAAGGAAATCAATCAGATAGTCTGCCCTGGGAGTCAGCTGTATCTCTAAGAGGGAAAAAGTTTTATGTCAGCCCTCAACAGGTGGGGATATATTATTTTGTTTATTTCTTCTACATAAGAAATGGAAGAAGCTAACCCAGGCTGTGAGGACATTGCTTCTGGGAACTAAATTGCATAGGTCAAAGCTATGCTTGACAGCTTTGCTGTGCTTCTCTGTCCCACCTTGTTAGCTCTGAATATTATAAACAGCACATTGCACAAGTAGCTCTTTTCTTCTTCCCCCAGCTCATGAGCTCTGCTGCTTGCCATGATAAGGTGACACAAGAACACCTGTGGTAAGATAGGGACAGGCGGAGCGGAAGATTACCGGAATGTCACGGAAAGATAGGCCCCTTCCCCCCTTCTCTCTCCCCTGCTTATCTGCTACCCCAGGAGTCAGAAAGGAATGTAGTCACACCTGCCCTGGTAAAGTTCCACTACCCACTATCCTCCGAGACCCCAAACCCCCCTCTGACGTAGCAAAGACTCCTAAACCTATATAAACCCGCGAAATAGGATAATAAAGGCTTTTCAACCGTCTGCCATATTGGCATCTGCGTGTGTTGATTAGCCCGAGTGGCTTGGACGAGACCAGGCCGCCGTGCTGCCTTATCTGAACCAGGCTCCGGGTTGTCTTTCATAAAGACAACATACTGGTGCCGAAACCCGGGACAAAAGAAGAAAAATTTGCCCGGCGGACGGGTCTCACCTGGACAGAAGCAGCGGCCAGGACGGCGGGACCGTACCCAGGCGTAAGGGGAGACATCCCCTAGGATCCGCGGGCGTCATGGACGCAATGGCAAGGATCGTGAGTGCTATTTATTCACAGTGGGGTATTGGGTGTAAGCTCAAGGATTTTCATCTTGCCATGGCGAGATTGCTTGAGCTTGGGGCGATTGAGCGTCCCGTGGACGTATTACATCCGGAAATATGGGACAAATGCACTGCCGCGCTAGCCGAAGACACAAAATCTTCCGGCAGCGGCAGATATCTTAAAGCGTGGGGGAAAGTAGAAAAAGCCCTACGCAAAGCGATAGAGGAGCAGGAGACATGGAGCGCGGCGCGTACGTGTTTATTAGTTACTCCTAAACTCGGGGTGGGGGCGGGGACGCAGACTGTCCCTGAGAGCGATCTGCCCGGCAGCGGGGACCCAGGGGGGCTCAGCGCGACACCCCCTCCCCCAGATCAGAGCCCACCCCCCCCCGCAGGAACCCCCCGCGACACCCCCGCCGCCGAAAATCCCCAAAAACCCCCCCCCCGCGCGAACCCCCCGAGAGACCGCGAATTCCTCCGAGCCGCCGCCGCCGCCCGCCCGCGATCCGATACCGGAGACGCAAGAGCACGCGGAGCGCTTCTGGCAAGGGCTGCTAAAAGAAGCCCGAGCTGCCGAAACGGCGGTTTGGGAAGACGGCGCGGCCACGCCGCCACCATATCCGTTTGAAAATGGCGCCGGGAGCGAGGGAGAGGGGCGGGGCTCGGGCGGTCCCGGCGCGAACACCCGAGGGGGGGAGCGCGATCTCGGGAATGCGCGCGCGCGGGAGAAAGGGGCGGAGGGCGGCGCGGGACACAGAACCGATCGGCAGCTGCGCCGGGAGCCGCCACCGTATAAGGGAAAAACCACCCCCCGCGAGGGGCGCGGCGAGCCGGGGGGGCGGGAACGGCCCCTCCCCCGAGGGGGGGAGCGAGCCCGGGGCCGAACAAAACGGCAGGGAGCCCCGGAAGTACGCCGGCATTCGTCTTCCGCCTCAGAGAGCAGTAACAGCTCCAGCAGCTCAGAGGAGCTGACGGAAGCTAGCGATGGCTCCGATTCAGACGAAACGGAACCGGCACGGCTTGAAACAAAGCCGGGCAAAGCTCTAAGCCGCGCCGAAAAACAAATACAATACGAATCAGCCCAGTTTACTGACTGGGGGAAAATTAAGATAGCTTGTGCGGAATGGTCCCCGGCGGCCACCATACAAGCGTTCCCAGTCCGGCTTACCGGCCCGGAAGGGAACCAACAAAGGGTCTATACCCCGATAAACCCAAAAGATATACAGTCAATTGTCAAAGCCATTGCGGAAAAGGGGATCAACTCGGCTATGGTTACTACGTTAATAGATGGTCTTTTTAGCAATGATGATTTGCTTCCCTTTGATATCGAACGGATAGGGCGGATGTTATTAGACGGAGCGGGAATGATCGTTTTTAGGCAGGAGTGGGAGGATAATTGCAGAAAGCAGCTAGCCCAGGCGTCCGGCGCGCGGCAGCCCCTACACAGGTCGAGCTTATCCAGACTGATAGGAAAGCATGATGATATGATCACACCACAGCAGCAAGCCGCACAGATGCAGGCTGAGGAGGTCAGGGCGACCACTCGGGCTGCTAGAGAGGCAATTTACGCCGCCTCCCGAGTCGTGGCTAAGCCGGCACCATGGTCCACCGTGAGGCAGGCAGAGAGCGAAAGCTTCACACAGTTTGTGGATCGCCTGCAGGCAGCAGTAGATTCCTCTACCCTGCCGGCGGAGGCAAGAGGCCCCGTGGTGGCCGACTGCCTGCGTCAGCAGTGTAACTCCGTCACTAAAGATATCTTACGCTCCCTGCCAGCCGGAGCCAGCCTGGCTGACATGATCAGACATGTAGTGAGGGAGGAACACCTGACGCCCATTCAGGCAGCCGTCCACACCCTGACCAATGCCATGGCGTGTTTCAAGTGCGGGGAGGCGGGTCACATCGCGGTGAGCTGCCCACAGCCGGCACGGCGGCCCGCCGCAGCGCCTCCGCCCCAAACGCGCCCGCGGGGATCCTGCTGGGGCTGCGGGAGGAAGGGACATCTGGCTAGGGAATGCAGATCCCGGCCCCAGGGAAACGGGAAGGGGAGAGGGCCAGCGGGCCGCACCCAGCCCCCTCCCGCTGCGAATATGAGGCGGCCCATCCATGCCAACCCCCAATGGGGCGGGGAGCCCTCGTACCCCATTCTCCCACAGGAAGCAGCCAACTTCATACCCCTGCCAGCGAGTATCACGGCACAGCCTGCGGCGCCTTCGTACCCACCGCCACCGCAAGCAGCTCCTGTGCCACAGGGTCAGCAGGGGGCGCCTCAGGTCGGGACAACCCCTGGGTGGCCCTGGCCCTAAAAATAGGGAGGGAACCCCCGAAAATCTGGGGGACATGCCGCCTTTATGACAGTCAGGACCCTCATGTAATAGGACTTCAGTTTTGGGCAGACACAGGAGCAGACTGCACAATCCTACCCCAAGCCCTGTGGCCCCGACACTGGCCGTACAAGGAAGTATCCCCAGTGAACGGGGTGGGGGGGCTGTCCCGGGCTTGGAAAAGCACCCAATTGGTAGCTATAACGCTCCATACAAAGAAAGGACCAGAACAAACAGTAGCAATCCACCCCTATATCTTGCAAAACTCCCCACCCCTGATAGGAAGGGACGTTCTCGCCATGCTAGGAGTCAGGATTACAAATTTATGATGAGGGCCACTGCTGTGCACCCACTGCTGCCAATCAAACTGACCTGGAAATCACCAGACCCCGTATGGGTTGAGCAGTGGCCCCTGTCAAAGCCTCGAATGACAGCCTTGCTGGAACTGGTCGACCGCGAGCTACAAAAGGGCCACATCGAACCCTCCACCAGCCCGTGGAACACCCCTGTGTTTGTAATCCCCAAGAGATCAGGAGAAGGCTACCGCCTTGTCCACGACCTGAGAGAAGTAAACAAAACAATTCAGCCCATGGGTCCAGTTCAAACACTACTGCCCGCGAACTCAGCCATCCCCGAAGGGCAGCCGTGCGCAGTGTTGGACATCAAAGACTGCTTCTTTTCAATACCCCTGCATGTCGAGGACAAAGAACGGTTCGCCTTCTCCATCGTGTTCCCGAACGGCGAGCGACCTAACCTCCGCTTCCAATGGAAGGTGCTACCTCAAGGCCTTGTGGACAGCCCGACCATATGCCAGATCACCGTGGACAGGGCACTGATGCCAGTCCGACACTCCCACCCTGCTGCGACCATCATTCAGTACATGGACGACATCCTCGTCGCTGCACCATCAGCAAGCCAAGTGGATCACCTAGTGTCCACGATCACGGAAACCCTCCAGGCCAACGGCTTCGAGATCGCGAACACGAAGATCAAGAGAGGACCGTGCGTGACCTTCCTGGGAGTGGGGATCACAAACTCCTACGTGACCCCACCCAGGATAAAGGTCCGCCGAGACATCAAGACCCTCCACGACATGCAGCGACTCGTGGGATCTCTGCAGTGGCTCCGCAACATCATCCTAGTTCCCCCAGAGGTCATGGACCCCCTGTATGACCTCCTGAAAGGAAAGCACCCGTGGGACCCCAAGGAGCTGACGCCACAAGCAACGAAATCCCTCGACTTCATCGAACGTCAGATGTCCACCAGCCTGCTTGCCAGGTGGAACCCGGGCGTACCACTGGACTTATACGTCCACTTCACGCAGAAGGGAGGAGTGGGAGCACTTGCCCAAGGACCTTCCGAGAAATCCCAGCCGATCCAGTGGGTGGTCCTCGGAAGACCGACTCACGCATTCTCCCCAGGAGTTGAGTGCATTGCTAACCTCATCACGAAAGGCAGGAGACTCGCCCTGAGACACCTGGGAACCGAGCCAGCAAGGATCCACCTCCCCTTTCGCAAGCAACCGACCACAGAGTCAACTGCAATATCGGAACACCTGGCCCTCGCTCTCACCGGCTTCGGAGGAGAAATTTCCTACGCCACCAAACCACCCTGGACCCAGCTACTGACCATCGTCGACATAGATGTGCCACCAAAGGTCATGGACCGACCGCAACCAGGACCAACGGTCTTTACAGACGCCTCCTCCATGACTTCTACCGCAGCAGCAGTGTGGCAGGCGGGAGAAACATGGCATTGTGTCAAAACGTGTGACCCCACGCTGTCAGTGCAACAGCTGGAAGCAGCAGCAGTGGTCTTGGCATGCGGACTTTTCCAGGACGAACACCTCAACATCGTGACAGACTCTATATTCGTGGCAAAGCTCTGCCTAGCCATGTCAAGACCAGGTGTGTCAACATCCACGACGGCCTCCATGCTTGAAGAGGCACTCTCCTCACGCCAGGGCACCGTGTCCGTCATCCACGTCAACAGCCATAACCCAGTCAAGGGCTTCTTCCAGACTGGCAACGACAAAGCAGATGCCGCAGCGAAGGGAGTGTGGACACTGCAGGAAGCTCGTCAGCTGCACGAGTCACTCCACATAGGGGCCAAAGCACTGGCAAAAAGATGCGGGATCTCGACAGCAGACGCGAGGCACGTAGTGGCCACCTGCCCTCACTGCCAGAAGTCACCCCTATGGACCGGTGGAGTCAACCCGAGAGGCCTCAAGGCATCAGAAATCTGGCAGTCAGACTTCACCCTCTGCGAACTGCTGAAGCCCCGAGCATGGCTTGCAGTGACAGTGGACACCTACAGCGGAGTGATCATAGCGACACAGCATCTCAAACCCAACTCGAAGGCCACGATCCAGCACTGGCTGACAGTTATGGCATGGCTTGGTATCCCCAAGCAAATTAAAACTGACAATGCTTCCAATTTTATCTCTAAATCAGTGCGAGAATTCGCCTCGGTGTGGGGTATCACCTTAGCACAGGGAATCCCATATAACAGCACCGGACAGGCCATTGTCGAGCGAGCAAATCAGACCCTAAAAGCCAAGTTAGAAGTGTTGGCAAAGGCAGAGGGCTTTGCCAATTCCATCCCCTCAGGAGACCACACGCGCATGCTAGCAACCGCGCTGCTAGCACTGAACCAATTCCCTAGGGGAGATGAAGCAAACAGTCCCATTCGAAAACACTGGGCCACCCAGACACTAGAAGAGGGCCCACAGGTCATGGTCAAGAACGAGCTAGGCGAGTGGGAACGGGGCTGGAGACTGGTGCTTACGGGACGGGGGTACGCGGCAGTTAAAAAGGAGGGCAAGATCAGGTGGTGTCCACTCAGGTCGATCAAACCTGACCTTAAGAATGAAACTAATGGAAAACTGTGAGTTTTCGTTCGCAGGACACGCTCGTGGACCGTCCCCGCGACACACACACACCTGCTCCAGAGGGAGACAACGGACCACCAAGCCACCAGACAGAGCCTGAGCGTCCCACGGCGGTGAGACCCAGACTCGCACAGTGTCTCTGTGCAATCCTGCTGATGGGGTTTGTGGCTGGGGGGCAAGCCGACCCAGGCCACTATCCTCACCAGCCGTTCAGATGGGTCATGCAACATCTCTCAAGCGACAAGGTGTTCAAAGAGGTCACCACCGCAAACGCTCCATCCTTCGTATTCCATATAGCCGATCTGTTTCCAGGGCAACCGAAAACACGGCCCATAAACCCACGTATCGTACTCATGTACATATCCTATTGGTGCCCAGCGTCCAACCCAGGGAAAAGGTACTGTGACTACCCGGGATGGGGACATTGTGGGTATTGGGGTTGCGAAACCATTGTTACAGATGCCAGACCGTGGGCAGACGGGTGGCAACCACAGGAGCCCGACAAATTCTTACAGTTCACCTGGGCACCCTTTGGCTGCGGAGACCACACTGCACAGCCTAGACAACGGGCATGCGTAAGTTATAACATGACTGTCCTACAGCCAGATCACCCTAGCTGGGCCACAGGTAGAACATGGACAGTGGTCCTCAAAGGACCGAGGAGGTGGGTGAATGTGAGAATTATCAGGCTCCAGCCGCCAACGCCTCGACCAGTGGGACCCAACAAAATTATCAGGAATGTGCTGGGAGGGAAAAACACAACCCACCTCAAAACCCTGTCCCCAAAAGCCACTGACACCCCGACCGGCCTTGCAGATACCCCCCAGATAGGCCGCATGGCTGAGTCAGACCCAAACCCAATCTTTCGTATGCTAGAAGCTACCTTTTTAACCCTAAACGAAACCAAACCGAACCTAACTAACCCCTGTTGGCTTTGCTATGATATCAAACCCCCTTTTTATGAAGGCATTGCTTTGGACACCCCCTTCAGTTACTCCTCGGCCAGCGCCCCTCACCAGTGCAGGTGGGACACTCCCCGCAGAGGAATCACCCTGAGTCAAATCACAGGACAGGGCAGATGTTTTGGGAATGCAACCTTAGCGAAGCAGAAAGGCAACTTCTGCACTAAAGTTGTCAAACCTAACAGAAAAACTAGCAAGTGGGTGATCCCATCTGCGTCTGGGATGTGGGTTTGCCAAAGGTCCGGAGTGAGTCCTTGTGTGTTCCTTGACAAATTCAATGATTCTACTGATTTCTGTGTCCAAGTTCTGATTGTCCCCAGGGTTTTGTATCACTCAGACGAAGAAATATACCATCTTCTCGAGGAACCTAACAGACTCCACAAAAGGGAAATAATCACAGGTATAACTATCGCAATGCTGCTCGGCCTGGGAGCAGCTGGCACCGCCACGGGCGTCTCAGCCATCGCGACCCAGCAACACGGACTCTCCCAGCTGCAAATGACCATCGACGAGGACCTGCAGAGGATCGAGAAATCCATCTCCTATCTGGAGAAGTCAGTCTCTTCACTTTCAGAAGTAGTTTTACAAAATAGGCGAGGACTTGACCTTTTGTTTATGCAGCAGGGAGGATTGTGTGCAGCTCTGAAGGAGGAATGCTGCTTTTATGCAGATCATACAGGAGTCGTTAAAGACTCCATGGCAGAACTCCGAGACAGACTGGCTCAGAGAAAGAGAGACAGGGAGACCCAGCAGAGCTGGTTTGAATCCTGGTTCAATCAATCACCTTGGCTCACCACTTTAATTTCTGCCCTGGTAGGTCCACTGGCAATACTGCTTTTGGCTATTACCATAGGACCATGCCTGCTGAACAAACTAGTCTCGTTTGTTCAAGCCCGTCTGGAAAGGGCAAACATTCTGTTCGTAGGCCACCAACAAATGCTATAAACCAAAAAACTGCAAACACAGTCAGTAGCTAAAGCCTTCAGCACCTGCCTTAAAAAATCTACCCTGATCTACTAAACCACCCTTTCCTTAACAAGTTACAAGTCTGTACCTCACTCCAATGTCTCTATTTACAACTACCTCATTTTGTATATGATAAAGAGGGGGGAGATGTGGTAAGATAGGGACAGGCGGAGCGGAAGATTACCGGAATGTCACGGAAAGATAGGCCCCTTCCCCCCTTCTCTCTCCCCTGCTTATCTGCTACCCCAGGAGTCAGAAAGGAATGTAGTCACACCTGCCCTGGTAAAGTTCCACTACCCACTATCCTCCGAGACCCCAAACCCCCCTCTGACGTAGCAAAGACTCCTAAACCTATATAAACCCGCGAAATAGGATAATAAAGGCTTTTCAACCGTCTGCCATATTGGCATCTGCGTGTGTTGATTAGCCCGAGTGGCTTGGACGAGACCAGGCCGCCGTGCTGCCTTATCTGAACCAGGCTCCGGGTTGTCTTTCATAAAGACAACAAACACCCAACAGCCAATTGTTACAGGTCTCCTTAGCCTGAAGGCAAACTGGACAAAAGAAAGAGACCCAGATTGACAGATTTACTCTGACTTATTTGAATTTTGACTCAACTAGCTGTTCCTCTTCTAACACTGATGCTGTTAAATACTAGACGGTTAGCGTCTCTTTTATATCCAGTTGGTGATAGTCATGAAACCATAGACAAGTTTGCATTGGAAGACACCCTTAAAGCTCTTCTAGTCCAAACTCCCTGTAATAAACAGGGATGTGTCTAACTGGATCAGGTTGCCTAGAGTCCAATCCAACTGACCTTGAATGCTCCTAGCCCTTTATGATCCTTACCTTAAGGAACCACTTTCCAGCATTCAATTTCTGCAGGGCATCCCAGGAGAAAAACGAAGCAGCTTTAGCAGTGTCATTAGGGTAGACCTCGTCAATGTTAGTTGTCCTTCTCAAGGTGTCATCATGCATGAGGAAAGGAACACCATCATAGCTGCCAGAGAGCAAGAGTTCAGGTCACCTGGGGAGCAAGTTCATTCACAGCATGAGCAGACTCAAGCCAGGTCAGAGGAACATGTGGGCCAGTGTGAATGCAGCAGAGTACAGAAGTTCTTTGCAGAATGTGCAATATGGAGGAACGCTGAGGCTCATGACACCAGATTATTTCCAGCTTAAATACTTCTAGGAGACCTCACAGAAGTCATGCTTGTCTGTGTCTCAGTTTCCCTAGGGGCAACGTGAAGGAGGTGACCTTTTTACCTGCCGACTCCCTCAAAAATGGTTAGTAACTTATGGTTGAAAACTCTTCTTCCTGACATCAAAGTGTTTCTGTGATTTTCAGAGGACTGAATTCTGAATACAAAATTTTCTTTTATAGAAAGGTCTAGTTTAGTATAACGTCCAAATGTTAGTGTTTTTCTCATTCAGTGCCTGTGAACAGCTCATCCTGCACAGAATGTTAGCATTTCGTGGCAATGAAAGGCAATTAAAGATCTAATAATTAGGGCAATGCTGCCACAAATCTGAACACATTTTCTGTTGTAGACCTGATATAACCTTCACTGTGACCTGGAAGCCAGGCTAGATGAGAGGCTTGTTTTTTATACTCTACCAAACATTGAAAACACACTATAGAAGTAATGATTGTTAAATCAATAGCTGCAGCTTATTGACTTGCCTGAGAACAACCATGCCCTACAGCTCCTATCATCACATGACAGCTGAGAGACCCAGTCCCAGCCATCAGTAAAACCCAACTGCCTGGAGCTGCATGTCTCCAAGGACAGCTCTTAGAAGAACCAGCGTACATTCTGTGACATGCGGTGTTTTGCCCTCACCTTATGGCGACATCTGTTTCAAGTCCATCCCCACCATGCTCAATTGTCTTCAGAAATGACATCTCAGTGTTTTCTGGCGCCAGCTGGGAAAAAAAAGCACAGGAGCAGGTAATTTTCAAACACACTCTGGAGGACTCTGCAAATATTTTCTGCCTCTTTGTAACATCTCTGTTTTTTATTAAGGGAGCATCATTATATTGCTAAAGTCTACTGTTTGTTTTCTTCCACTTTAGCCAAACCCATTGTGTAGAAGACAAATAGAACCATAGAATGGTTTAAGTTGGAAGGAACCTTAAAGATCACCCTATTCCAATTCCCCTATCAGGGTAGAGACCCCTTCCACTACTCCAGGTTGCCCAGGGTCCTCTCCAACCTGGTCGTGTCCCTCAGGAACATTGTTTTCCTTGTTAGCCAACCCATACAGTGATGCATTTGGCATGCAGTCCCAATGACCAGAAATGTTTCCCACCATCCACAGATTTAATGGAAAAAAAAAAAAAAAAAAAAAAAAAAAAAAAAAAGAAACAACAAAAGATAATGATGAAAGTAGCAACACACAGGATGAAGAAATGACATAACTTCTTCAGACCTACCATTGGTGCTCCACGGTGTCCAATGAGGGCTGGCTTTGGTCCAAGAGTTCCCATCTCTCTGATGCAAGGAGAGTACATCCCCAGAGGTATCAAGAAAAGAAAGAGAAGGATAGCCAGGTATGGACCAACAATTATCACCTGAGTAACTGAAAGAATTTGAAGGAGGAAGGCTAGAGTTAATCTACATCGTAACGTACGAGTCTGCCTTGCTACTTAACTTTTAGTACAGTCCTCCAGCTAAGTAGCATTTGGGCTTTATCCCATCCCTTTTTCCTTTCCATCTTCCCCTAATTTTCACTTTCTCTCTAAACAATACAAACCAAGAAAACAAATTGGTCAAAGCAAGGATGCAGTCTGTCTAAAGACTGCACGTTTTAAGCTTTAATTACATCTCACAATGCCTGACAGCAAGATATGGCTTTATTTCTTTTTTTTCTTTAGACTTGATGCAATGAAATCTCCTCCATATGTAGAAACACAATCCTCAACAGAAGGATGCTAATTTTTTTCTTACTCAGATGAGAACCAGCACCATTTTCAAGTTTCATTCACAATGAAGAAGAGTAGCTACCTCTCCTTCAACTATGTTGCATCTCCTTGCTTTGAATACTTTCCTGGTTTGTTCAGATGGTTGGTAGAGACCTTCTGTGTGTGACCCAGATAATCTGACAGACCCTGAGAGCATGGATATTGCACCTCAGAGACTTGCCAACTCATTATATATGGTCTTCTCTGGAGTCTGTTGACACATTGCCCAAGAGCCCCAGGAGTCCTCCTCAGGGGCCAAAACAGTTCTGAGAAATGAGCACCTATGCACAACACCTCTGTCTTTAATGGGTACCACCATCCCTCTGTGCCAGTGGCTCTGAAGGAATTTGGGCTTACACTAAGATGATGATGTACTAAGCTAGGACTACCTCAGGCAAGGTGGTGTATAACGTCCCTGTGTATTCTCCCCCAATCTCCTCAGCTGCAGTTCAACAAGAAAAGTCTCGGACGGGGAAAAAATCAGTCCATTCTGTCTGTGATTTTTATTGCAAACCACTATCTGAAGATGGGTGTTAGGTAGGTAATTTTGGCTACATGGAGAGAAAACAAAAGAAAAATAGACACTCCCAATCAGGTTTTTCTGCAGGTGTTCCTGGCATCTAGCTTTATCCTTACACATTTGGTCATTCTACCTAGAGGTGGGCAGGAACTTCCCATGAGATAACACCGGGAACTGAGCAAAAAGATATTTTCCCTATCCCAGCTGGCCTCTCCTGATATAGGCTAGCCTGAAATAGTTTGTCTGACTGGACTGGAGATCCCTTCTGTACACAGCAAGCAAAAATCAGCCACTGTCTGCTTTCTCCTGCAGAGGGCAAAACAAATTTCCACTCATGACTCAGAACATGGGTGTTCCTGCTAGTCCCCTCTGCCTCAACACACATCACTGCCTCAGTACAGGGCAAAACAGTGCAAGGTAACATGCAAACCAGTAACACACTGGGACAGCAACAGGGCAGTGCACAGCCTAAGCCTCAGCCCTACTAGTTTCCCTGGGAGATGCAGAATTTGAAAGTCTCCTCCAGCTGGAGTGCAGGTGTGGGAGGAAAGGGCTCCTGCATGCCTCTTTTCCCATGCTCGTATATATCTTTTATCATACAGGAAGGAGGAACCAGAGCTGCCGTACCTTTCTTATCTGCTCTGATGGCATGAAGAGCCACAGGCCAGGCAAGAAATATCATGATGGCAATTGCCCCTATGTGGAGATAAGGAGCTGTGACCTGGTAAGGAGAAAAAAAGTATTTTGGTCAAAGGATGAACTGTGGAGAAAGATGGAAACAATCCCCATCAGAGCGACAGTCCTCACACCTGGATGGGCTCCTGCTGCAGATACCAGCAGTTAACCACTCTCCCTCACCTGTGTTGGATCCACCAAACACCTCAGGAGTCAGAGGAGAGACATGTGCCCCTGATCAGGCCAGGGAGGAGTGTGCCTCAGCCTAAGGAGCATTCCTCACTTCTTTACTTTCTCCTAAATCAGCTGAAGGGGACACAACTACCCTCCTCTATGAGGACATGATTGCCACTACTGATATGCCATAATCTCTGAACATATTCCAGTTTAACCCAATACAAACAACTCCAATCCTATCCAGGCAATAGCTATCTCCACACCACACCACACCACACTGCAGTTAAATCATTAAACTGATGTCAACAAACCTGAGAGATAAAATGTGGTATTTACTAGCTGTGTTATGAAGCTAACTACTGTGGTATAATAGAAGCAGATATATTAGGTAATATTGCTGAACACATATAGTTAATAGATTTGCTTTCATTAATCCTAGGGATTAAACAAGAAGATCATAAAACAAGAATCACTTCTATGCTTAGCATGAATGCATGAAAAGAGCTGGAAACCAAGAAGAAATACAAAATCGGAATGGTTGTTGGTCTAAAACATTTTTCCTAAAACTAGGCAAATTTGACCTAGAAACCAGTCCATTGTTTTCAGTGCCCTGTGGCAAGTATTCCAGCTAGAACCGACAGCTATTAAGGTATGTGCTAGGAAAAAAAAAAAAAAAAAAAAAAAGAAAAGAAAATTAACTTTCCAGATGCAAGCCTTCCCTGTCTCTTAGTCCTGATGCTTGATTCTCTAAGCTGGAAGAGTTGAAGAAAGCAGCAGTCACTGGGACATGTTACTGTATGTGACACTGTCTGCCCTGGACACCCTATACCAAGACCTCCTGACCAGAAGCAGGATTCAGCTGTGCAAGCAAAGGTGCCATCTGAGATGCCCAGAATACCTGAGATAGATTTGCTGGGGTAATGGACATGACACAGTATCTACAAGAAGAGATTAATGTCCTTTGGGACAGCAATGGGAGGCCATGTCAAAGGGCATGGACACCTGAAATAAACAGCACCTTTGGGGAACCCAAAGGCTCTTGTGTCTCCTGCTCCTCTTCCACATCCTCCAGTGTCTGTCAGGGGGAGAAGAAGCTGGTGGTTTCTCATTACCTTTGCCAGTGCATAACTCAGTGGTTAGTGAACTGTAGAACAGGAATGTGCAATTAACCACACCCTACGAACTCCACATTTTCAATTCCTCTGCCAGTCCACTTGCATTGCTCTCCCAGCCTTCACAAGAACTAAGGCACTTAGGGGAGAGATAATAGACCCAAATAGCATAGAATCATAGAACTGTAGAGTGGTTTGGACCCAAAGCAGCTGTGTAGTCAAAGGCTACATGCTTCTTCCTTCCCAATACAAGTGGGGACCTTGATGCTCAGACACTGAACAGCACTGGGCAGCTCTTACCTCCCCCTTCAGATCTGGTGAGAGTTGAGGAGGCCAGCAACTATGAACTCTGACCTCCTGCAACCAGCATTTTGTCCCACCTGACACCAG